TCCAGGGGCTCTTCCCGACCCAGGGATCGAACCCAGTCCTCCCGTATTGCAGGCGGGGCAGGTTCTGCCTGGATTGCAGGATACCCTGGTTCTATTCCTGGGTCAGGAAGATCCCCTGGAGAAGGAATAGGCTACCCACTCCAGTATTCTTGGGCTTCCCTTGTGGCTCAGCTGGTAAGGAATCCACCTGCAATGCAGGAGACCTGGGTTCGATCCCTGGGTTGGGAACATCCCCTGGAGAAAGTTATATGTAAATGGTAATAAAATACAAATGACTGGGACATGCTGACAGAGATAAAAAGATACTCTGCTGGCCTTTTAAACAGTAAATCCTATGAGAGTTGCATAGGATCTCACTCTCTCAACAATCCAACCACCTTCCCACTAGAGTCACCTATCAGAGACCTGTGCCTGGGACGCTCCACTCCGAGCTCCCACAGGCTCCTCCTGGCTTCCTGGGACTCGTGGCACTCCCAGCCAGTCTGCCAGGACACTGCCCGGGCTGGACCCGACCTGTCAGCATTGGGGCCACAGCTGCCCGGGTTCCTGGGGCTCAGCACCTGTGCTTCTGTTACGGCTGCTTCCCTCTGTCAGCAGCGCCCAGCCTGCTCTCTCCTTCCCTTCTATTTGCTTTACTGGACGAATCTCCCCGATTTTAATATTAGCAGAAACAGCTTTATCGAGGCATCTGCTGTGTGTGTGTTCAGGTCCTCAGCTGTGTCTGACTCTTTGTGGCCTGCCAGGCTCCTCTGTCTATGGAATTTTCCAGACAAGGACACTGAAGTGGTTGCCATTTCCCACTCCAGGCTATCTTCCCGATCCAAGGATTGAACCTGCATCTTTTGCATCTCCTGCACTGGCAGGCAGATTCTTCATCACTGACACCGTTTGGGAAGCATAACTGATATATAAAGACTTGCACACATTTAATGTGTACAATGTGTTGAATTTAGCCAGATGCAAACACCTGTGATTCGATCCCCACAACCAAGGTAACTGATACATTCAGCACCTTGCAGGGTTTCCTGTGTCCCTTGTGTGTCTGCATGCATGTGTATGTGGTAAGAACACTTAATGTGAAATCTACCTTCTTAATGAAATGCACACTACTATATCACTAACTATAGGCACTATGCTGTACAATGGATCTCTGGAAAGTAACCATCTCACAAAACTGAAACTTTACACCCAGTAGCCCCACTCCTCAGGCCTGGTAGCCACTACTGTATTCTCTGCTTCTACAAATCTGACCATTTCAGAAATCTCAGAAAGTGGAATAAGGCAGTCCTTGTTTTGGTGACTGGCTTATTTCACCCAGCATAACATCCTCCAAGTTTACCCATGTTGTCATGATGAGCAGGAGTTCCTTCATGTTTTTAAGGCTCTACCTTTATGCCTCAGTTGTCAATTCCAGAAGGAAACCACCTTGGCATTATCTTTTCTAAGTTTTCATCCTCTAGTCCTATTTTCTGTGAGCTAAACCTAAATATGTGAAAGGCAAGGACCATATCATATCCATTTTTGCAAACCCAGCTCTTAACAGGGTGTTAGACACAGAGTAGGCTTTAAATAAATGTTTAATAGTTTGCAAAACTATTAAACAATGTGAATTAAGGACAGGTTAATTTTTTATAAGCCCATTTTCTGAAAATATTAGTTAATATGATCATGAAAGGACTGATTTGGGAAAACTCTGATCATTTCTAACCAGTTGGGAAATAACAGTCCTCTTGCTAAAGTACATTATGTTTAGAAAAATTAAACATGAAGATGGCATATAAAAATTAAACATGAAGATGGCATATAAAAATTAAACATGAAGATGGCATATAAAAATTAAACATGAAGATGGCATAAAAAATGTGGGGAGCCAGGTATTTCACCTCTGTTTTCAATGCTGCTCTTAACTAATTCCTGCAAGAATGACCAGGTGCTTCATGGGACTTTATATAGTATGGTGGCATGCATGACATGCCAACCAATTCAACCAACCATGTAAATAACTTTAAAAATTCAAAAGCTGATAAAAAATGCACCCCAAGATAGAGTTTGATAATACTTGTTTCAGAGAAAAGAAATTTTAATCAACTAGAGGAGTTATCCTAGAATTAAATTCATGTTGTAAATTGTATGACAGAAACCAACACAACATTACAAAGCAATTATACTCGAATTAAAACAAAACAAAAGACAAAGAGTTTCCATGAACCACAATTCTTTAAAAAAATGAGCTGATGGTATAGTCTAATACTTTTAAAACAAAAGATAACTGTGAATAAGAACCTTTTGGGGGGGGGCATGGATTCTTCTTCCTTATTTTCCAGTTTAACAAATTGATATTTTCTAATATTACAAAATAGAGTAAACCATTTCTCTTTCAAATACCATGTACTCAGGATTTAATGAACACCGTGTATCGGACCCATAGCTGAGTTTATATTCTAAATCTAACACTTAAAATAAAAGAACTACCTCTCTCTCCCAAACACTTTGACAATAAACTAAAACCTGTGGAATTGACTATTATAAACTCTTTCATATGGCTGCATGTTCCTTAATCTTCTAAATTCCTCAGTAAAGTCATTTGATCTATAGCTGAGAACTCATTCCAGGATTTGGTATAATCCTCTTCTCTCCTAGACATTTGGCAAGCTTGTCATAAAGACCTTCATCATTCAAATTCCTCCTCTGAGACAACAATTATCTTGTCTTGAAAGCAGTGTCATACATTTAGAAAACTATGTGATGGTCTAATCTTGCCTGTTAGCTTGTACCAGCTTTTCTTGTTTATAGCACAAGACAATTACTGAAAATCCTACAATGTGTCTTCTCTTGCTAGAAAATTTGGAATAACAAAGCTGATTCCTTTAAAGACTGGATTCCAGGATGTCCAATTTATGCCTTTCCCCCCTTACTTGTTTCATAACCAATATCAACTGACAGGAGTACATTGCTAAGAGAACAATTTACTTGAATGGTTAAATGGATGAAAGGAAACCAGGATAGAGCAGCAATCTTGTTTATTTTTGGCACGTGACCACACCCTAAGGGACTGCTAGGAGGTCTAGTCTAGAGCCCTCTAGTGGTGGTACAGGTGCTTCTGGTCTTTAGAAAGAGACTCAATTCACCATCTTCATTTTCTCATCTACAAAGTACATTCATTTGTTGACTCATTCATTAAATAATTAATAGTCACATGCTACATGCCAGAAACTGTGTTATGCAATGATGATAAAGCAGAGGCTCAAAATAAATTCACAGGCAGTGGCCAGAAAGATAAGAAAAATTAGAGTTGAGTTACACAGCAATGTGCTCCCTCTGCAGGAGGTTTAAGCTCATAGGATCGTGGACGATGACCCTCTTGTGCTGAAAACACCTGCAAGGGCTACATGGGAGATTTGGGGACTGAGCGGAGCCCTACAGGTGGGGGAGCTCACCTGGACCTCAGGGAGAGCATTCACAACCCACGGCGTTTTGAGATTGTAAAGAAAGATGGCACTATGGGTTGCAGAAGGAGGAAGGGCACAGAAAAGGATAGACAAAGAGAGGCAAAGGGCAAACTCTGAAGGGGTTAGATCAGTCTGCAGAAAATGTGGACCCCATCTAGAAGGAAAGGGATGCCATTAAAGAGCTTTCAACCAAAGACCTACACAGTCAGAGTTATGATTTAAAACACTACTCCACTTGTAGAAATTACAGGCCAGGAGACCAGCTGGGAGAAGGCTACAAAAACAGATACAAGTTGACAAGGGCCTAAATAAGGCAGTGGCATGAAGAATGAGAGCTCCTAGGATATAGAATTCACATAACTTAGGAACTATTTGGATGTGGACAAAGAGAGAGAAAGCAAACATCTAGGATCATTTTAGAGTTTAGCTTTGGACAGACAACATTTGTAGCATGCAGAAGACCTCCAAGTACAGATACTGAGCAGGTGGTGGGGTGTAGGAGTCTGGAACTCAGGAGGATGTCTGGGTGGAAAGAGAAGACTGAGATTCTTTAAGCCATGCAACATAGAAATAAGAGAAGAGGGAACAGCTTTAAGAATGGAGACCAAAAGGATGGATCCAAAGATAGGAGAAAAATATCAGTATCTATGAACCAAGAGAATAGTTTCAAGGATGAAAAGTCAATAGTGTCAATTCCTATGTGTGCATTGTGTTGTGCGTTTAGTTGCTCAGTTATGTCCAATTCTTTGTGACCCTTGGGACTGCTGCCTGCCAGGCTCCTCTGTCCATGGGAATTTTTAGGCAAGAATACTGGAGTGGGTTTACATTTCCTCTTCCAGGGGATCTTCCCAACTCAGGGATTGAACCTGCATCCCCAGTGTTTCCTGCATTGTAGGTAGATTCTTAATCTGCTGAGCCACCAGGGAAGCCCATGCGGCAGTGAAATAAAGTGAAGCCTTAAAAGTGCCCAGGGAATCTTGTGACTCAGACACGCTGGTGACCACAGAGGGTGCAAGGCAATGCAGTTGCTTGGACACAAACCAGACTCTAGGAGAGTGAGCAGGAGCACAAGAGATGGAGCATCTCTTGTAGAAGCTTGGATAAAGGAAAAGATGAGCTAACTGGCTATGAGATCTTTATGAGTATCTTTAGCAGCAACATTCTATGAAATTTTACTGGCAACACAGCTATATCAAGAAAGGTGGGCAAACTTCCACAGACCCCTAACTGACCACCAGGCTGGATGTGAAGACACGGAGCAGATGGGGCGCAGGTGGGTTCAGCACGGGATTCGCTGATCTGGGACGTGGCATGGGTCACCCGTACAGGCGGTGTACTTATTCACGAACAGGAATGAGGTGGGTGGGAGCCAGGGCAGCCAGCGACCAGCCTCCCTGACCTCTTGTTTGTGATGGTGAAAAGCATAGGGAACACGACCATGTTAAACAGTGGAGAGATGGAAATTATTACCTACAAGGGATTAAAGTGACCTGTAGACGAAGACACAGACATACAGACAGGCTTTGACGAAACACACTACTGTCTACTCACAGGTGGTCCTGGAGGCCCTGGTTTTCCTGGAGGCCCTGGTTTTCCTCGTCTTCCCTGGAAACCAAACAGAAATAGATAATAAATACTGTGATTCCATTTTATTTTAAGATGAGACAGTATTAAATGGAAGTTCAAAGACAGTAAAAATTAACTCAAAGTTAAAAAACAATCCCAAGTCCACATGACCTTTAAAGGTCAGTGAAGTCTAAAAGCTATAGGACAATTCTTAACAACCAGGACGAGAACAATAGTGCTGGGAATGAATAAATCGTGACTCTTATTAGCAGCCCTTTACAGGCTGTCTACCTCGACTCTCTAGCAAAGTAATATAAAATATCTGAAAGGTTGGCTAAGATTAGCATTTTATCTGATAATTCAATGGGTTCAGGTACAATAATCAATGCATTTGTCATCTTAAATTGGTATTTTCAGAGACTGATCTGAATTTCAATTTTAAAGGAGTTTCCTAAGGGTGAGATTAAGTATTCAAAATATATTTTTCTGGGCTCCAGCCCGGAATTACCAGTTTAGAATCTCTGGGAAAGGGATCCATGAATCTGCACTAAAAAAAAAAAAACCCAAAAAACAAAAAACCAAAACCACTTCAGGTAATTCTCGTGTTCACTAAAGTTTGAAAAGCACTTCACAAAGCTCTATTATAATTACATACCTTGTGCGAAGCATATTACCTAGCTCTTTTCTTCCTTTTGGATGGCTAAGCTGTTTTATAAGTGAACTAAAATGTTCACTCCTTGCTTATTAATCTTCATTACTGTAAATGACTGTTAACTCACCAAGTTTACAACTGGCTAAATTACAATAGCAAGAGTCAGAATGACAGTTCTAGGTATCTGTATATTTGATATCATTTGAAGAACATTTATTATACACTTATTTTCTTAATTTTTTTTCCTTTTCTAATAGAAGCAAGCAAGCTTAGGTATGGAAAGTGTACATTTTGAATGAGAAGCATTTCTGAGTATGGTTTCTAAATATGATCATTCTCTTTCATTGTTATTAATAACTTCATTTTATCACCATATTGGTAGTACGTTAATACATATTAAGGCTTGCCACTTCAAAAGTAAAAGTATTAGTGATCTTTCAATTCTTTTAGAGGAGAATTGTGAGCACAAACTCTCACGAAACTGTGAGAAAGGCCCAATTTCACTGATTAACTTTCTTGCTCTGAAAGCATCAGGCAAAATTTCCTGATTTCTTTGGTCTTCACCTAGGCTTGGAGTGGAGTAAGAAATCCAAGATAAGCAGAAGCATTAGAGCAAAGTTTGGAAGGTAGGTTAGCACATAAGACACTGATTGCATGGGGAATGCTGAAGGCAAGTTAAGATCCTACTATCAAAGACTCTAACAGCAGCAGTTGTTTTCAGGAAAAAAAATCGTGGTTAACATCTACAGAGCAGATTTTTCAATAATTTTTATTAAAACCAGAAAGACAATTAGTAGTATTTTCACATACCTTCTGTTTTAGAGTTCTGAACCCTGGAGTTCTTTTTAGGGGTTGTAAGATTGGAATGAATATATAACATTCTGTATACTGAATAAAAGTTATACATATGTACATACTTTACTAGTCTTGCATTTTATACATTCTGAAAATCAATATATTGCATCTTTTAGTATATGCAAGTCAATCAGCCCCTGAGGATTAATCAATGATAAAAAGTTGACTTAGAAAGTGGAAGTGCTATAGTTTATTAACTCACAAGAGCACAAAGAAACAAAATCAATGACACGGGAGGAGGTGCTCAGTTCTTTCTTTTAGGTTGAGGTAAATTAAATCCACAGGACCAACTTCTGGTGCAGTCTCTTTTCCTTAAAGGAGACATATATTTTGCTTGGGGCAGGAAGTGGGGAAAACGAAGCTACTGATCACCTTTTACCCCAGCGTTCATACTGAAGATAAACAACTCCCAGGTATTGTAACACAGCATCGGCACGGCTGAGGGTGAGGAGTAAAAAGCATTCGTGGTTCTGTATGGTATGGGGAAGCTTTGGAATTCTGGAACATCACTGCTGATTTACACTGTCATTCAAGTCAGCCTTGAAATTATCGGAGTGTGTGGGTGCATCTCTGGAGGAGCACAGGGGGAATGCAGATTCTCTTCACATCTCCTTGCTAAGAGTGGACAAACAGGCAAAATGTTTTTGAGCAGGGATCCCCAATCTTTCTGGCACCAAAGACCAGTGCCATGGAAGTCAAGTTTTCCACGGATGGGAGTGGGGGGGATAGTTCAGGCAGTGACGTGAGAAACGGGAAGCCATGGCAAGTTGCTGATGAAGCTCCGCTGGCTCACCCACCGCTCACCTCCTGCTGTGAGGCCCAGGTCCCCAAGCAGGGGTCAAGAACCCCGGTTTTTGAGGACTGTCAAATTATCAGGACATATTATACGCAGCAACTTTGGCAGTTTAAATGTTTGAATTTCTAGTAACATCTGAAGTACACTTCAATATTTTCTTTTCCAGCTTTACTGAGACATACCTGACATGTACTACTATATAAGTTTCATGCATACAAACTGATGCCTTTATCCACTTCTATATTATGAATAAAGTTAGTGAATACTTCCATTGCCCTACAAAATTACCATTTGTGTGTGTGTGTGTTGAGAATATTTAAAATCTACTCTCTCATCAGCTTTCACATATAAACACAGTATTGTTAACTACAGTCACCATGCTGTACATTATAATTTCCCCAAACATGCTCATCTTCTAACTGGAAGTTTGTGCACTTTGACTGACATCTTCTCATCCCCCGCACCCCCTGCCTTCAGCCTCTGCTTCTGTGAGCTTGGCTTTTTTAGATTCCATATTCTGGGGCTGGGGCTAGGAGTACCCCCCTGATGAAGATGGAGGAACCATTTTTGTGCATTTGTTTCAACTTCCGTCTTATGTCAGGCCCTTCATCACAGGGCTCACTCTAGACCCTTTGCAAAGTGAGACAAGAAGTGGAGACTCAGATGTGGATTGGGATGAAAATCCCGGCAAAAAGCAGATAAATGCTGAGCTGGGCATGGCCATGCTGACCAGGACACCTGTTACCAGGTCGTCTTTTGTTCAGGAGCAGCTCTGACCAGTCAGAGTCTGGCTGAATCTCCAAATGGTTGGAGACATACTGTTTCCACATAATTTCAATTGGACTAATCCAATACTTTTCTTAAGACTGGAGTATGAAGCATAAAATGCAGATCTGCCATATCAGGTGCCCAGGACACCTCAACGTGCTCAACATGTAAGTTTCCTGTATCCAATAGCGCGAAGATTATTAGACAGCAGTTTCTGTGTTTGTCCAATGATTTAAACACAGTGGTACTCTAACCTTATCACACATCAGCACCCTCAGGGGCCTACTTGAATCCTCAGGAGGCCTAGTTGAAACAGACTGCTGTCCACGCTTCCAGTCTGAGATGGGACTTCACATTTATAACAAGTTCCCAGCAACGCTGCTGCTAATGGCTTGGAGACTACACTTGGAGAACTCCTGTCCTAAGCCTCAATCTCTTATTTCAAGTTCAGGTGATCTTAAGTAGCCCTTAATTCTAATAGCTTAGAACAGAAGTGCTGGGTTGGTTCTGTGATCACATGTCTCTTTAAGAATAAAAACCTCACTGTCAATTTCAGGACCACTTGGATTGGAATCCCAGTCTCTTCCCTTATGGAAGCTTACTGTGTCAAGATGTCACTGCTGTAAAATTGGTACTTATACTTTGTAGCCCATTTTAATTAAAAAAGAGATCATATGGGAAACTCCTACCACACAACATGCATTAAAATGGCTAGTTTCAAAAAACAGAAAATAAGTGTTGGCAAGGATCTGGAGACACCAGAATGCTTATGCACTACTGGTGAGATTGTAAAGTGGAGCAACGGCTATGGAAAACACTATGCAGATTCTTAAAACTACCATGTGATCCAGAAATCCCACTTCTGGGTCTATATCCAAAAGGACTGAAAATCAGGGTCTTGAAGAGATATTTGCACACCCATGTTCATAAGCAGCACTATTCAGAATAGCCAAGAGGTGGACGTCCAAACGTCCATGGACAGTTGAGTACATAAAAGAAAATGAGGTGCATACAATGGGACACTATTCAGTAGGGAAGAAAATTTGGTTACATGCTACAACAGGGGTAAATCTTGATATGTGTTTGTGTGTTTAGTCACTCAGTCACGTCTAATTCTTTGCGACCCCATGGACTATAGTCCACCAGGCTCCTCTGTCCATGGAATTCTCCAGGCAAGAACACTGTGTGGGTTGCTAGTCCCTTCTTCAGGAGATCTTCCCAATCCAGGGACTGAACTTGGGTCTCCTGCACTGCAGGCAGATTCTTTACCATCTGAGCCACCAGGGGAGCCCAAACCTGGATGACATCATGTTAACTGAAACAGACACAGTGAAATAAGCCACTAAAAGACAAATACGGTATGATTTCACTCATATGAGGTACTTAGAGTTGTCAAATTTATAGAAACAGAGGGTAGAATGGTGTTGTACAGGACCTGGGGGGTTGGGGGATCTGGGAAGTTATTTAATAGGAACAGAGTTGTAGTTTTACAAGATGAAAAGTTCTGGAAATCTTTTCACAGTGATGCAAATATACTTAACACTACTGGGCTGTACACTTGAAAATGGTTAAAATGGTAAATTTTATGCTACCCGCTTTTTCCCACAATTAAAAACAAAAACAGTCCTACTATAATATCTGATAAAATAGTAATAATAAATGTTAGTTCTTTTTTGCCGTGTCCTTCTACCATCCTTCAGCTAATTATCTATTTTTTTAATTTAAAAATAAAGTAAATTGTAGATTATTCATACAAGGTAACACAATATGTGATGGAAATTAATGGAATACAATTGCATGCATCGATATGGTTGAATTGTGTAAACATATGTTCATCAATTTATATAAGGAATAAAAGCAGGCAATACTAATCTAAATTGTTAGAAGTTGCAACAGGTCACTGATGTGGGATTTGGGAGGAACTAGGAGCATTAGTGTCAGACTTTATTTTTTGGGGCTCCAAAATCA